TTCTGAATTTGGGAAGGGAGGGGAGGGGAGAGGAGAGGAGACTATCCATGTAGTGGATGGATATCCTGCAGTAGTTCACTTAATATTTGTGGCAAGAAAGGTCGTAAAATGTGGCAAAACCTGCTTAACAAATGTCTCACTTAGCAACAGAAATTTTGGGCTCAGCTGTGGTTATAAGTCAAGGAATACCTGTACACATTTGAATTGTTAAGAAGTACCATTTTGCTCTGCTGTATACTTAGATGCATCAAGTTTATATCTGGCTGGGCATCCAAGGTGCCTCTGAAATATAGCAATCAAAAAGTCACTTGTATTCTGATCCTACCATAGAGCTGAAGAGGATAAACTATTCCTTTGGTTTCTCTAAGTAACCAGACTTGTTTTTTAACTGTCTGATGCCTTAAAAATGATAGAATTGTGAAATCTCTGCTGATTTTTAGATATCTACTACTCTTCGATAGGCTCGATATATGCAAGCACCTAATTTATCTTGACTAAACCTGGATGCTAATTAATCTTGACCCTGATTAGTTTTTGAATGTGGTAATGCCTGACACGTTCCAGATTGTTACTTAGAATGCTAAGCTTGCCGGGGGGGGGGGGGGCAGCCAATAAGGCCGGACACTGAATAAATGCAATGAGCAGATGAATTTTCATGGAAGTGTCTTTACTGTTTAAGTTTCAATTAGGATGAGTAATAGTTAGGTGCTACTGTCTCAGAAGTTCCTCTTTGATGATAATCTGAGGCACTTACCTGTGTTGCTCCACAAACTTCACCACAAGTTGGGTTAATCTCTGATTAGTTTCTGAACTACCGTATTTCTCCAACAATAAGCCCCCCCCCCAATAGGAAGACCTAGCATGTTTTGTAGGGATAAAATGAAATTAAGCCCCTCCCCCCAAATTTAGGCCTATTTTAAAACATGCGAAATTGGGGGGGAGGGTGGGGGGGGACTTTCCTTTAGGAGCGCCCCACAGGCAGCCACACCTCGTCACCAGCCACTCCTAATGGCCGATCATGGCGGAGCGCGGAGTGCTCCCTACCCCTACCAAGCGCCTTTGCTGCGGACCCGGGTATGGTGCTGGTTGAAGACCGGGTCAGCGGGAGGGTGGCAGCGGCATGGATGTCGGTCTCGGCGGGGCACTTTAAATCACGAGAACTTCGGTGCCCGCCGCTGCTGCTTCCTCCGCCGCTCTTGCTTTCCCTTTGCATTCCTCCACCGGCAGCGTTTCAGCCGCTTCTCGGGTGGGGGAGCTGCCTCTGTAGCTTCCACAGTTCCTGCTGGCGCTGCCGCTGTTCTCTCGCCAGTGCTAGCAGGAACCGTGGAAGCTACAGAGGCAGCTCCCCCACCCGAGAAACGGCTGAAACGCTGCCGGTGGAGGAATGCGAAGGGAAAGCAAGAACAGCGGAGGAAGCAGCGGCGGCGGGCGCCGAAGGTCTTGTGATTTAAAGTGCCCCGCCGAGACTGACATCCACACTGCTGCCGCCCGCCCGCTGACCCGGCCTTCAACCAACACCATACCTGGGTCTGCAGCAAAAGCGCTTGGCAGGGGTAGGAAGCCCTCCGTGCTCCACCATGATCGGTCGTTGGGAGTGGCTGGTGGCGAGGCTGCCTGCGGGGCACTCTAGGTGAGGGTGCGCGGGGGAGGGGAGAAATTAATTCACCCCCGAAAAGATGGCCTAGCCGTTTTTTCGGGGCTCAAAAAAAAAATAAGACCCGGCCTTATTATATGAGAAACACGGTAATTATAAAGTATTATTTAGAAGGCCCTAAGAATAACAGTACTATATTGGATACTGGATGAGACCTCCAGTTAAAAAGAAAATACTTTAAAACTGGCTGATCAATCGCACTCAACGAGTAGTCCTCAATGGAACTGCATCTACATGGAGGGAAGCATGTAGTGGGGTGCCCCACGGCTCCGTTTTAGGCCCAGTATTCAACATGTTCATCAATGATTTGAATGAAGGGATAGGTGGGGAACTCATTAAATTTGCAGGCGACACCAAGCTGGCAGGAATAGTCAACACTCCAGAAGATAGGCTTTAAGATACAGAGGGATCTTGACAGACTTGAACGTTGGATGCTTATTGAACAAAATGAAAATTCAATGGTGAAAAAAGTACATTTAGGCAAGAAAAACCATTCTGAATAAGTCAATAATTAATAAAGCACGTTTTGATTACTTTTTAAACATCTACCAAACTTTTTTTTTCAAACTTGAGCTAAATTTGAAGCATATTAATTTATTAATATACAGGAATGCTAAAGAGATGATCATTTCCTTGCACGTGATTCCTTATTTGAATTCCTGTATAAAGCAAGTGTTGCTTTCTTAGGTAGGGAAGCCTTTTATTTAGACAGGTACTACTATATCCATTTGACATCCAAACACCACACTGAGTTAACCAAAATATTTTAAATGGTATGGTAGTGTTGTAGGGTTTATTGAAAATTTTACAAATTAGGGGATTTTTTTTTTCATGGAATAAAGTAGTCCTTGACTTACGACCACAATTGAGCCCAAAATTTCTACTGTAAAACAAGACAATTGTTAAATGACTTGTGCCCCGTTTTACAGCCTTTCTTGCCCCAGTTTTTAAGTGAATCAGTACAGTTAAGTTAGCAACATGGTTATTAAGTGAGTCCGGCTTCCCCATTAACTTTGCTTGCCTGATGGCCACAAAAAGTCATCCCAGGACACTAACAACTGTCATAAATATGAGCCAAGCATGATTGTGAGGATGCTGCGATGGTCATAAGGGTAGAAAATGGAGATAAGTCCTCTTTTTCAGGGCCGCTCTAATAGTTATATTAAATGACTTGTTGTAAGTCAAGGACTACCTGCAGTCATTTTCTTGTTTTGTAGTTATGTGACATCAGGCAATAAGACATCATATTTGGAACATAAATCTGGAGTGTTATTTCTGTAGAAGTAATGATTGATTTATCTTCTTTAATCATCATCTCAATGAATACTTCAGCTTCAACCATAACAACACAAGAGCACACAATAGATACAAACTCAAAGTAAACCGCACCAAACTTGATTGCAGGAAATACGACTTCAGCAATAGAGTGGTCAATGTCTGGAATACTCTACCCGACTCTATAGTCTCTTCCCCAAACCCCAAAAACTTTAACCTTAGACTGTCTACTATTGACCTCACCCCTTTCCTAAGAGGTCTGTAGGGGGCGTGCATAAGCGCACCAACGTGCCTACCGTCCCTGTCCTATTGTTTCTCTTATTCTTTTATTTTTCTTATATGTACCCATTTCATGTATTCACAACTATGTATACACTTATACTTATTATCTTGTAAACAATTGGCAAATCAAATAAATAAAAATAAATAAATAAATCTGTTATTTATGCATGATAAATGGATCGTGTTTGCTTGCAAGTTACCTTTAGCAATAGCATCTGCGTAATTTACTCTTCAAAACCATAACGATGTATTCGCGGACGTTGGCAAACCATACAGAAGTTGTCTGTATGTTGTGTCAAGCTCTAATGTGCTTTGCCTGAACTTTTGGCGTGAAACTACCTGATATGGTATTTGAGTTCTAACAGGGATAGGTAACTGACAATCCCCATTTCTTTTAACCTGGACCCATTTTAAAAATAATAAAAGTCCAATTGTGATTTAATTCAGTTCATTTTTTAAGAAAAAGATTTTTATCCCACTTTTTCCCTATAAAGTTTCTTTTTCATAATCTTTCCACCTCCTCCTTTCCACCTCCTCCACAACAACAATCCTGTGAGGTGGGTTGGACTGGCCCAAAGTCACCCAGCTGGTTTTTCATGCCTAAAATGGGACTAGAACTTACAGTCTCCTGGTTTCTAGGTCAACACATTAACCTCTGTACCACAGTAGCTTATTATTATGGTTGATCACACAATCATCCAGATGTTTAGATTTGGCATTTTTTGTCTGTCGGTCGAGCTCTTCCTATGGACCTGTGATAGGCAAATATTGTTGCTTAATAATATTAAGTGACGCAGGATGGAAGCTATGCAGGTGGAGGAGAGGAGTGTGTATGTGTGGAGGGGGTGTTTAATGTCAACAGTAGTTCTGTGGCTTCCAAGGGAGGAAGCAGCCACGTACCAAGAGAAGGCCCAAAAGAAGAGGCTGCACAGTCCTGAACTGGATGAGGAAATGTGGAAAAGGTTCAGGATAGCCCCACCCTAGGATCTCCCCGGATATATCTATTAAGTTAGTTGTTACAGCTGTAGTCTGTCAAGATTCTGTCTATTAGACATAAGCAAATAAAGAACTGCTCTTGATTGGATCTCACTGTTTTGTCTTTGGGCTTGGGCTGGACATAAACCGTGACAAGTAAAACTGACTTTTGTAATTGAGGATTTTGTCAATGGTAATGATGTTTGAATGGTGCTCTAGATCAGGGGGGTCAAACTCAAGGCCTGTGGGCCAGATCCGGCCTACGGGGTGCTTAGATCTGGCCTAAGGGGCCACCCCTGGAAACAGCAAAGGACTGGCCCGCGGTGCCTCTGCCAGTGAAAACGGGGCTTGACCTTGCAGGAGGTCGTCCCAGCCAGAAACGGAGCTTGTTTTTGCTGGCAAGCTATCTGGCCACTACAGGCACCCTCAACACGAGTGACATCAACCTGGCCATGCCCACTCTGCCTCCCCAAGGTCAAACACAACCTGATGCAGCCCTCAATGAAATCTAGTTTGACAACCCTGCTCTAGATATTTCGTGATTGCCACCCCACCCCACCACCCCATAAAGGGTGTCTATTCCTATTGCTACTATCTTTGCTTTTATTGTTATCAGGTCATCCATCACTCAGAAATAATAATTTTTAAAAAATATTTCAGTGTCCATCCTCCAGGCTTTGTTTTAGGCAAAGCGGGTCAGGAATGGAGAAAAGAGAAAGTCCACAGCTAAAGTTGGCATGCACTAGCAACGTTTCGCTTGTATCTCATGCCTATTTTGTAACTAATGACTTGCTTTTGTGTTTTTTCCCTACAGGAAATTCGGTGAGCGACCTCCACCTAAGCGGCTCACCAGGTAAGGTTCAGGTCTTGTGTTCAGAATGGGGGGTCTTCCCCAGTGGCGTTTAATATTTAATTATAATATCGGTTGCCTCTCTGGAAAGGCAAGAGGGATCACTGAAGCTGTCAGAGCTATGACAGCAGGCAGTCTGTTCTCCTGGCTTCTGAGCTCCGTTTTGTCATTCTCCGTACAGGAGTAGGCAGCTTCACCTGCACTTTCACAGAGCTGCTAACAATTACTCCTTCCTTCAATCCTTTATGGAAAATGTGGAGACCAGCATCTTCCTATCTGTTACTACAAAGGGAAAGGGTTCTTACCCCCCTCCCCCGAAATACATAGGTGTGGAGCATCCCTTCCTTAATGTTAACATCCTTCAACTGTACCCAGTTCACTGACATTGGTGGGAATCAACCTGATCGGTAAAGGTAGCCCTTGACTCGCTGGCAACTGCAATTGAGCCCAAAATTATGGTCGTATGGGGTGGGGTGGGATGAGAAGATGGCCATGAGAATTTAAAACAAAGGGAACCGTAATAGCTTTGGCAGACCCCATAAGAGAAATGCAGCTGCACGCAGTTCAGACACATAGCAATGTCAGCCTTTGGGGTGCTTTAAAAATACACGCATACATTGGTTTTTCTGTTAACTTGATTACCTTTGTTTTTCAATTCTTAGGGAAGCTATGAGGAACTATTTAAAGGAGCGTGGCGATCAAACAGTCCTAATACTTCATGCAAAAGTGGCTCAGAAATCCTACGGAAACGAAAAAAGGTAACGCCGGATATCTCAAACTATGCACTGGGCTATTTTGCAATTGAATGTTTTTTTTAAAAAAATATGCAGCTTTCAACAATCGTTTGCTATTTGGCTATCATGGGTTGTAACTCCTAGAATTCCTGGCTCGGATGCCTGCAGGGCAAGTTTTATATAAGGGGGTAAGGAGATAAGAAAGAATGGTGCAAAATTCCTCGATTTTTTGTTGTAGACATTTAAAATACACTACCTGATTATCAGGTTCTTTTTCATTTCTGAAGTATTGGTTGACAAACTGTAGCTAAACAAACAAACAAACATAAAAAATCCTGAAAAGTTCAGGATCCTTAAGAATTTTGCACTGTTAAGTTTGCTCTGAATTATTTTAAATGGTCTTCCTTACATTCACCTCTTGTGTGGAACGCCATCTAGTGACCGTTTAAAATAAGTTCTCAGCAAGCATACATTTCTGTCAATCAAATAAATTACAACAAAATACATTTAAAAAAAGAAACAGAGTGGGTGTATATGTCTCAGAATTTCATTTTTTAATGTATGCCATTGTGTTCACAGAAAAAAGTGACAATAAAGTCTTGTCTTGGTCTTTCTTGATTTTTGTCCCCCTAAGCAAAACAGGGTTAGAGGAACTGGGGAAACCACTTCAGTTGTAGTACTTCAGATTAAAATTCTTATTGACATTTTTTCAAATTGTCTCCCCACATTTTTATGGCTTCAAAATCTATAAATCGAAGGTATATAATAATAATGGAATTTTTATACAAACGTTCTTGGGAAATACATGTTCTAAATACAGCTATTAGGTATGAGCCAAATATTTTAATTTTTTTAAAATAACACATGTCTACCCTTGAAGCAGTAGTGGGTTCCTACCTTGGTCACTTCCGGTTTGGTGGGTGATTGCATGCGCACCCGCCCCTAACACGCATGCACGCACTCCTAACACGCCAATCAGCTGAGAGGATGAAGAAACGAAAAACTAGGAGCGACTCTCCCACCCATGCATGCCCTTGTCGCTTCTTGGAAGAACCGGTTTGGCCGTACCGGTAGTTATTTTACTACCGGTTCAGTTGAAGCAGTCCGAACCGGTAGCATATCACCATTGCCTTGAAGGCCTAGTTGGTAAAGATTCATGCGGAGGCACTGTCTTCCCAGTAATTCCGAGTCTACCACAAGAGAAATCTTTTCATTAATTAGAGAAGCCAGCAGAAATAACAAACAAAATCAAATCCTACATCTGATGGGATTTGGGAGCAAAACAAGGATTTGGAGAAGTTTGTAAGTATATTTCTGACTTTGGGAATCCAATTAAGTTCCATCTTCCACTTTCCCTTTTCTGGATTTAAATAGCTCAGCGACAAAATCGAGCTACTGATTGAAGCACTAGGCTTGAAACCATCAGATCATGAATTCCAGTCCCATCTTAGGCAGGAAAGCCAATTGAATGACGTTGAGTCAGTCATTTTCTCTCATCCAACCCACCTCACAGGGTGGTTGAGGTGGGGAAAAGAAACTGCGTGGTCGGGCTTACTTTTGGGGGGAGGAAAATAAGGTGGGGGAATTGCCTCTGCCTACCAGCATCCATCGGTATTCATCTGGCTAGTCCTGTCAGTGTGTGAGAGAGTTGAAGGCTGTTTGGAAACTGAAACAGTATTTGCTGTGTGAGCAAGAAGGAGACAGCAAGGAGCCTGGGCGTGGCTTAGCTCAGCTGTTCTGTAGTAAAGCTGCTGGGTGCTGTGAAAGTAAAACTGAAACTCCTGTCCTCTGCTTGTGTTTTGCATTTGGAAGATAATTCTTTTCAGGTGGGAAGGGATAATAGAACTCCTTAGCATCAGAGTGTGTATATTAATAATAATATAGGAAATACTAATGCTCTGATGGTCATTTCGAAAAATCCTTTCTTAGTGAGTACCTAGAAGCCAAGAGGAACATACGTGCCAAATTTCAAGTTTGTAGGCTATACGGTTCTGGAGATTTTGTGATGATGCGCCAGTGGTATTTCACTTTTATATATATAGATATATTAAAAATCTAAAACAATTATCCCTTGCTCAGAGTATGTATAATTCTTTTCCCTTGGCGCCTTTTCCTTCCAAAATGGCATTTTGCGCTAGAAACAAATGACTTGATACTGAAAGGGAAACGTGTTCCAGATGAACCTAACATTCTGCTCTTTTGTCTTCAGATTTTTTTGCCCTCCTCCGTGTGTCTACCTTATGGGTAGCGGATGGAAGAAAAAAAAAGAACAAATGGAGCGAGATGGCTGTTCTGAGCAAGAATCTCAACCATGCGCCTTTATTGGGATTGGAAATAGCGACCAAGAGATGCAGCAGTTAAACTTGGAAGGAAAGGTGGGTTGAATGTAACTTAGAGTTTGCAAATCTGGTTACTGATATATCATGGTCAGTGTGAGTAATAAATTGGTTCAAGGGGCAAATGCACTACATTTGGTTCTTCTCTGTTAATTTGTAGTCACTGAGTATCTTTTGGCTTTTAACTTGCTCTTATGCAAAAATTAATAATTAGATGGCCTCATAGATTTTTTAAAAATATTTTGTTTTCATACTTCTTTAGCGACTACAATTGTACCAGCATCTCAATCTTTTAAGTAGAGTGGTTTCTGAGTGAAAAATCAAGCGATCAACAACTGCCGTTACGATTTTACTTTAGCTTTCCTATGCTTTGCAGCATCAGGAGGCTAGCAATAGCACAGACTTGTATACCACTTTACATCCCTGTCTAAGCGGTTTACAGAGTCTGTGTCAACTCATAAAATATTTCTCTGGTCTTTTAGAGTTGCCAACAGAAAGGGAGGGGGGAGCAGTGGGCAGCTTGCATTCCATAAATGTTTTCAAAGATAGTAACTAGGTGACCAAAGTTTCTGCTGCCCAACATTCTAACTGAAGAGTATGATTGGCGACTCTTGGCTATGCATGTGTCCCATTGGAGAATATGAATTATGATACACCCAGGGGGTGGAGCGAAAACCAGGGTCAAGGGTGACAATGAATTTTGTGTCTCAGAGTCAACTACACCCAGGGAGCACCAGCACGTCTTCTCATTTTCTTTGAGCTTTGAGAATCCGGCTAGAGACTCATGATTTAAATGGGGGTAACTACCAGAGCCCTGACAGCCAGCATATTGCTCCCAACAATCTTGGGTCCTCATTTGACCGACCTTGGAAGGATGGAAGGCTGAGTCAACCTTTCAGCCTGGTGAAGAAGTGAAGTGCTGGCTGTTGAATGCAGAGTTAGCCTGCAATGTTGCATTCTAACCACTGCCCCACCACGGCTCAAGATATCGCCCCAAACATCTGGGTGAGTCCAAACGGTGGAGAAGGTTTTAAAACTCAACTCACCAGGAAGCCCAGTAAAAGGACAAATCTTATAGCCCTTTTCCTCCACCTTTCTGCCCTTTAATTTTCCCTTTTACAGAAAAAGAGTAAAGCAGGAATGTGTGTATTGACTACTTATAGCAGACTCATTCATCTTACAAATACTTGATTCTGATCTGATTCATTCATTTTCTTTTTGTGAAGTTGGGAACACATATATACTTGCAATTCTCACTATGCTGTTAACTTTTCTCTGAAATGCAATAAACTGGAGCCATATACTGAATTTTCAAACTTTTTATAATTTTACAATATTACTGAAAACTTCCGATTTGGCCATATTGGCTGGGATTATATGAAGTAACATCTAACAAATTTGGAAAACACCAGACTGAGCGAACCTGGCATACCCTGCTCATTGCTACTTTCTAGTATCCTTTGGTATTTACAAATTTTGTCAGTCCACTTTGACTTCTGCATGTTTCAGAAGCCATCATCCAAGACCTTCATTTGGCTATCCAGGGATGAGCATTAAAAAAAATGGCAAGAACATATGTAAATAATCCTTAGCATGAATTTTCCAAGCACCGAAAATGTCCCTTTTAGTGAGAGACAAAATTTTACTTATTTACAAAACTAAGTTGCTTGTTGAATCTTAGATCTAAAAGCCAATTGTTATAACTTTTACAAGCTAGCTCTTTGTTCTAGTTGATTGTTTTGCTTTGGGGGAATTACAGAAATTTTACAACACATTTGAAGCCAAGTACACACCAGGACTTCCAATTACATATATATATAAGTGCACCCCTCCTCCCCAAGCATACAGACATACATACATGCACTGTTATCCTACCAATCACCCCCTCCGAAGACAAATAAGTATGGGAGTAGATGGGATACCTAAAATTAGTATATCAAGCAGGCCCAAAGTAAATATAATACTCCAAATATTGGATTTCACATATATGTATATTTAGGCATAATTATCTTCCAAAAACTTCTGAGTAGTATATCTTTGCATAATTAGCTTTAACATGGCTTCATTGGAAAATACTAAGTTAGTGTCTCTTTTTATCCACAGAACTATTGCACAGCTAAAACTTTGTACATATCAGACTCTGATAAGCGAAAGCACTTCATGTTATCCGTAAAAATGTTCTATGGCAATAGTGACGATATTGGTGTTTTCCTTAGTAAACGGATCAAAGTCATTTCCAAGCCTTCGAAAAAGAAACAATCGCTCAAAAATGCAGACTGTAAGTATTGATAGGCAAGCTTCATTGACTGTGGTCTACGTTTCACATACGTGCTATGAGGTTGTGAGTTTTCCATTCATCTCTTAAGAATGTGGCCTTTGATAGAGCAATCCCATTATCAAATTATTTCCAGTTATTACAGCAAGAAAGTATTTGATTACAAGCTTCCAACAATCTCAGTAGTTAGAGAAAAGGGGCAACAATTGTATGTGTCGTGTTTTTGAGATTACCTGATTAAAGAGGTAACTATATTTTAAAACGGGGTTGTCCAACCTTAGCTACTTTTTAAGACCTGTGGGCTTCAACTCCAAGAATTCCCCAGCCAGTACAGGGAATTCTGGAAGTTGAAATCCCACAGGGGACTTCTGGGAGAATTCTGGGAATTGAAGTCTAGGTTTTAACGTTTCCTGTTTTTCTCCTGCAGTATGTATCGCATCAGGGACAAAAGTGGCACTGTTTAATAGACTTCGGTCCCAAACAGTTAGCACCAGATATTTGCACGTAGAAGGAGGGAATTTTCATGCCAGCTCACAACAATGGGGAGCATTTTACATTCATCTCTGTGAGTAAAACTGAAACCTCTCTGTGGGTGTTTTTGTTTAATCTTTCCTGAGTTTGGGAAAATAGTAGCATTATGCTTTTTGGGGGAACGGATTCAAGTTTTGCCTGGCATGCTGATATATCTCTTTCCTCCGCAGTGGACGATGATGAATCCGAAGGAGAAGAATTTACAGTCCGAGATGGCTATATCCATTATGGCCAGACAGTCAAGCTCGTTTGTTCAGTTACTGGCATGGCACTCCCAAGATTGGTACATTTTACATTTTCAGTGTATCTGCTCCTGAATCCATTAAAAAAAAAACTTATTTTATTAAAATGCAGAGGATTTAGAACAGCGTTTCAGGGAAAATACTGTGCTGTCCACTCTGCAACATCACCCCTCTTGAGATTAGTTTGTCCCACATCCTGCTGGTTTTTCGTTAAGCTTTGAAAACCTGATTCCAGGTAATCTGTCCCAAAGCCTGGATCTCAGTTGTGAGACGGAGTCCATTGTCTCTGTTTTTCTGATTCTCCAGCACGTGTGTATTTTATTTTATTTATGTTATTTTATTACTTTATTTTTTTATTGTATACAGCATATTTTTATTTATTTTTGGTCTGAACTGGGTGAACTCCCGTCACTGGCCTCAGCATCTGCTCATCTTGCAGTGTGTAAAGCAAGTTCTGTGGGAGTAGATAAATAGGTATCAATTCGGTGGGGATACGAGTTGGTGCTCTGTGCAGGCAGTCAGATTCCTGCCGGTTCTGAACCTTCCCAGTTGTAACGCCCACTTGAGAGAGGGCTCCGAGGGAAAGAGAGGCCTTGGATGCTGCTGCAAGAAGAACCACTTGTCTTTCTTTCTGGTGCAAAGCCAGCTTGCCCTTCCAGGGTGTATCTTGGGAAGCGCATAAGCATGTACCTATCAGAGTTGGCAAACTGCTATTCTGCCAAACTACTATTCTGCAATAGCATTGTAGTGCCTGTCTAATGTAACATCACCGATACAATAATAGCAATAACAGTAATAATATGCGAGTACAGCAAAATCGCGCAAACTGATTACAAAGCTAGGTCCAAGTTGCTAAATTAATCCACTGGGCATTATGTAAAAAATACGACTTACCTGTATCTGGAAAGCCATGGGAACATAAAGTGGAAAAAGTTGTTGAAAATGAGAAGGAGAAGATCTTGTGGGACTTACAGACAATAACACCAGCGGAAGTGCGAAAAACTGCATTACTTGGAACATCATACATTTTAAGAAGATACTTGGTTGATACCTAGGATGTTGGCAGCAACACGTATCAACCATCAGCACTGTCAGTGATATTTGTGATATATTTTGAAATGTTCAGTTGACTGAGCTTCCTGTTTAAGGAATCAAAGAGATAATAATAATAATAATAACCACGCTTCCTTAGCAACAGTTTTGAAATCCATTGTCAACTGGATCATACATGAGGAAATAGCCATCTGAAGTGATACATTCATGATATTGATGATGATGTTGTTGTTTAAAAACTTTCTAAATATTCAACTGTATTTACTGACAGATAATACGGAAAGTGGACAAACAAACCGCTTTGCTAGATGCAGATGATCCAGTCTCCCAGCTCCATAAGTGTGCGTTCTACCTTAAAGATACTGAACGAATGTACTTGTGCCTTTCCCAAGAGCGAATTATCCAATTTCAAGTAAGTGGTTTGACATACTAGTACAGTGTATGTTGTTTCTGATCTTTTGACAGTGGGCGTGTCTAAAAGCTAGCACCAGGAGGACTTCAGCACCTACTCCAGCCTTTGGATAACTCCTCCTCTTAAAATGACATGGCATGGCAATAGGGTTTATATTTGCAACACTGTCGTAGTGCATATTTTACTTGCAGATGGCACCTTAATGTGAGAGGGGGCCACTCCTCCTTGTTTCCTGCCATATATTTAGCATTGAAAACTGCAAGTTGGATAAAGGGTAGTCTTCGAAAGGACGTTGCAGGGTTTTGATAGAAGAGATGAGACCACCAAGTTCAGAAAAAGGCAAGTCTGAAGAGAATATATAGAGCTGTGGCCTGCATTTTGGACCTGATGTCTTATTGAAAGCTTCTGTTGTTGTATTATTTATGCTCTCTCAAGTGTCTGGCAATTATTTCTTTAAAGGCCACTCCATGCCCCAAAGAACCAAATAAAGAGATGATTAATGATGGAGCTTCATGGACAATCATTAGCACAGATAAAGCAGAATATACATTTTATGAGGGCATGGGACCTGTCCATGCTCCTGTAACACCTGTGCCTGTTGTAGAAAGTCTTCAGGTAAGCCAGAATTTTATTTCTAGCTATTCCTGCTTGAACATGGTGTATAATAGAGATTATAGTGAACAAGCCATTTGGTTGGTTGTCACCTGTGTTTTGAAAATATTTAGGGGAACTTGCAGCTGTAGGAATTCGGAAATATAAGCAGGGAGAACTGAATCTGTGACATGATATTTGCTAAACATTTCTCTCTCTCTCGCAAAATTTTATTTGGGTATTGCAGTCATTCCAGTTAAAGAAAGAAATAGTCTTATTTCTTGTTTCAAAGATTTAACAGTACACGAGAGTCACCTGGAAGTGAAGGGTGGACCGGGAAGAGATGCTGGCTAGGGAACAATCAGATAAGAAAGGGCTTAGCCTTTAGCTAAATAATGGGCAGAGAAAAAGACTCGGAAAGGAAATCTCAACTATTCAAGCTGTGAAAAGGATAGCAGGAGATTTATACTCTCAGACTGACAAGATGCTAGTAATGTAAAAGTAAAAAAGGTAAAGGAGTCCCTGCGTATTTTACTCCGCTAGTTGTTACCGACTCTCAGGGGTGGCCCTCATTTCCATTTCAAGGCTTATTGAGTCAGTGCCGTCTGAAGACATTTCTGTAGTCATGTGGCCAGCATGATGTCTAAAGCGCTGTTACCTTCCTACCAAAATGATACCTATTAATCAACTCGCATTTGCATGTTTTCAAATTGCTGGGTTGGCACAGCTAGGGCGAGAATGGGAACTCACCCGTCATGTGGTGCTCGGGTCTCAAACCTGTGCTGCTACCTTTCCAGCTGACAAGCCCAGCGTCTTAACCATCGAAGTATTGTAAACACCACCACCCCTTAATGTAGCCTTACCCAAAAAAAAAGTACCGTTAGCTCATTTGGTTGTGTTCCCTGTCTGGTCTACCTGGCACGGCTGGTAGAAACTGGTAGCCTTTTCACATATTCAACTGGTAAGGATAAAAATTTCCCTTCTGATGATTCAGCTGTTCCCCCCCCTCATCCCCACAAAAAAAGCTCTATTCAAATAGGCTTCCCTGAAATCACTGCATTTTTGTGCTTGTCTCCCATGATAAAAGTGTAATGCATTATCTTTCCTTTCATTTTCACAAGCTCAATGGTGGTGGAGATGTAGCAATGCTGGAACTAACCGGGCAAAACTTCACTCCAAATTTGCGTGTCTGGTTTGGGGATGTGGAAGCTGAAACGATGTACAGGTGTGATATAACCTTTGCAATGTTAAATGTAACTCTTGGGTGCTTGTTTGGGACTCTGTAAAGGAAAGGCATTCGTCAATCATTCATTCACCTAGCTAAAATAATAAATTTACTACGGCCACTATTGAGCCTGGAATTATGGTAGTTAAGTTGTATTTGTCATTAAGCAGGATTTTATATCCGTTCTTTTTTTTTTCAGCGCTCATTAAGCAAATATCGTAGTGATTAAGCAAATTCATTGTCTGCAGTAAGCATTTTGCAGTTTTCAACAAGAAATCTAAATCTCTGTCCTTATGGCAGCAAAACGCAGGACAATCATACAAAATAATTCTGCAGCTTCTGCATAGTTAGAAATTGTAAACAAAACAATGTATTTACAAAGGAGCCTTAGTGGCACAGTAGTTAGAATGCAGAATTGCGGGCTAAGTCTGCCCACAGCCTGGAGTTTGATCCTGACAGGGCTCAAGGTTGACTCAGCTTCCGTCCTTCTGAGGTCGGTAAAATGAGGACCCAGATTGTTGGGGGCAAGAGGCTGACTCTGTAAACCACTTAGAAAAGGCTGTAAAGCACTAGGAAGTGATATGTAAGTCTGCTATTGCCCTTCCTTCCTTCCTTC